GATGATGATTTCGCTGCAAACCTCCAAGCTGCTACATTACTGTGCCTTCTGAATACCACTTCCTTTGGCACTTGAAGGTGGTGTTTGAGATGATGTTTTCACTGAAGACCGCCAAGCTGCTAGTATGATGCATCCCCTGTGGTAGCGAAGCTTTCCTCGGAAAGCAGCGGGCCTGTTGTGTTGCTATTATTGTTTTTTCGTTCAGTCGTGTCGTCGTCGTGTTCCTGTGTTGCTTTTATTCGTTCCCGTCGTCCTTGTCGTTCGTGTAGATGTTGCAGCCACAGTTATTGTGGTGTTGGTTGTTGCGTCGTTTTCTCGTCGTCGTCGATGTTGTTGTTCGTTTGTTTGCTGTTTCTCTTCGTCGTCCGCGTCGTTATTGTTGTGTTGTTGATGTTCCATCATGTTTGTCTAGAACTTAGCCTATGCGAGTGAATCATTACCAACCGGCTCTGACCGGGTAGGTGTGTGTGGAATTCCTGTTTCTAAGGAAGACATCTTTTCCGACAGTTCTGTAAAGCATATACGAGAATGCAGGGGATGCAGGGGGCCGCAGGCTTACCATCGGAGCTGCGGCCAACGAAGACCTCCGATGGTAAGTGTGAAAACGTACCTGCTGAAAACAACCATATCTCTTCTGAAGATTTTCCGTGGAGATTCTGAATGCAAGCTTCTGAAGATTTTCTGTGGAGATTCTGAATGCAAGCTTCTGAAGACTTTCTGTGGTGATTCTGCATGCAAGCTTCGTATGCCTGCTCGAAGAGCGGACACTTCGAAGCACAATTCGAAGCGTGAAGAGAGATGATGGCAAAACAACCAGCTCAGACTGGGTATGTGTGTGTGTGTGTTTGTGTTTCTCTCTCTCTCTCTCTGTCTGTGTTTTAAGCTTGTCATAGGGGGTCCCTGAGGGCCCGACAGGGTTCTCGGCTTGCATTTCCGGCCTCAGTTGCACAGATGGCCCACAAATAGTGCGGTTTTCGAGCAGTTGAAAAACTGATGTTCGGCGAATGCAGGAGTGCAGAGCAGCATCGAGCCAGTGACGAGTTGAGTAGCAAAAGCAGCCGCCACCTCTGCATTCAAGCAAAAGCACAAGCATAATCCGCACTGCCATGGACGTGAGTCATGACGCCCCACCCACCGCCCCCATCACCTCTACACTGAAGCAACAGATAAACGCCGGATGCATAATCCGCGCTGGCATAAACGTCGTCGCCCTCCCATCCCCCTTCCCCCGCCCCTGCCTTGACATATCTTGACATGCAGACGTGCATGTGCAGCATGCTTCGATGAAGAAAATAGAGGAGAAACCACCCGAAGTCCGGGTGCGAAACGCTGTAAACAGCGACACACAACCCCAAACACCAGTTGCCAAAACTTAAGTTTTGGCTGCGCAGGCCTGAAATCGATACAGTTTCCGCGTCGACAAATGGACCCGCTGCCAACAAAAACAGCAACAGCAGCAGCAGCAGCAACAGCAGCAACAGCAGCAACAGCAGCAACAGCAGCAATAGCAGCAGCAACAGCAGCAGCAACAGCAGCAGCAGCAACAGTAACAACAGTAACCGCAACAACAACAACAACAACAAGAATACCAACAGCCTTTTCTTCCGGGGCGGCCTTTTCGTGCTGCAGAACAGGTTTGAAACCGGTCTGCAGAAGAGGATTTATTCCATTTGGAAAACCTCTCATGCCTTGAAGGTTCAAGCACCAAAGAATAAATCCTCGGGAAAGCTGCGTGGGGAGAACCCTCCTAGAGAACTTGCACGCAAAGGACAAAACCCTTGCCAATTTTGCGTTATCCGAAAACGAGGTGTTGTCTCCGCAACTCTCACACTCGAAAAAGCGTGCTTTGCTTGGCCTCCTAGTGCTTAAGTGCGCGCGTGTGGAGCAGCTGTAGCGCCCTGCACACTGCACACCAAGTCGCGTCCGTACTTTGGCGTGAGCGCGTCTCCTGCCGGGCTTCTCCTTCAGCTGCTCCAGCACCAGGAACTGCTGGGTGTGTATTTGACGTTGTAGCTGGTGCCTTTGCTGTCAACCACTTCACTACAAACTACGTTAACAGCAACAACAAACGACAACAAACGACAACAACAACAGCAACAATGACGGGCAACGCGACAATATAGCAACAATAAGGAGTGATAGCAGCAATGCAGCAACAAAGGGCAACAGCTACAACAGCGACAACAGCAGCAGCAACAGCAACAGATACACAGTGCATGACGGCGGCCAGTCGCCCTTGCACTTTTGAAGCCCAAAACGACGAGGGTCTAAGCAACAGCAGGAACAACAACAGCCCTTGTCCGGTTGCAAAGCCAAAGCATCCATAGGCCCATGACACGTGCACCAGCCCACCGAGGCCACGAGCGAAAGTACGACAGCGTCGTCGACGCACCGTGAGGGCCCCGGTTCTCCGGTTCTGAGCGCTTGCTATGAGTCCAAGTCAGGATTTGTGACTGCAGGGTTTTGTCAGGGTTGTAAAAGGGTCCTACATGGTCTCCCTTAGTGTTTCACTTGAAACTCACGCCATCCCGGGCCCGCTGAGGCTGGACGAGGCAGCAGCCAGCCTGAGGCTGGACACTCGTGAATCGTGAGTGTTTATCATTCTGTTTATCTCCTCGCCTCTGTTTACACAAATAAGTACATGAGTGAGTTTGTGGACCTGATTATTCATGTCTGCATGAGTGTACGTGTTTGTATACAGACCGAGAGAGCCAGTGGAAGAGTCGCCCGTAATCGGAAGCATAACAGCGTTATCAGCATGTACATTACTGACAACATTAAAACTGAGTATTACAGTCTTCTTTCTTTTGACGCGGTCACTCAGGTAGTGCTGTTGTTGTCATTGTCATCTCCGAATCCATGAAGACTGCCATTTTTCCTTCTGTCGCAAAGGTTGCTATGTATGGCGAGTAGGACAAGTAACATTACATTGATGCATTGGGCTGTGCGGCAGCGTGCTGCCCCTTTGTCATGCAGGGAGTTCCCCGAGCGATCCCGGAGAAGTGTTCAGATTGAATCTGCGCATCCGTGCTAAATGTGCCGATCATCATCGTCGTCGTCATCATCATCATCATCAACATCACCATCACCATCACCATCACCATCATCATCATCATCACCATCATAATGCTCATCGCCAGCGCCAGCACCAGCACCGGCACCGGCACCGGCACCAGCACCACCACCATCATCATCATCATCCTCATCCTCATCATCATCACCACCACCATCAGGGTCAGACAGATAAACCGCAATCCGAGGCGACTGCAAATGGACGCTCCATTGGCATACGAGCCACTGTGCCAGCAATGAGATTTCTCCGTGCCTCTGGGTGTGATGGAAGATGATGGCAGGAGAAGCTCCAGGTGATCGAGTCAGGCTTCTTTTGGATGGAGGCAGAAGTGACTGCCGGCAAAACCGGACAATCATTCGTTCTCATATTGGGGGGTCATGAGGAAGGAGACGGAACGAGTAGCGAAGTGTGTCTGAGACTGGTCATTGCTGCCATTGCAGTTGCCAGTGCTGGGAATAACAAGTGGTGTTGAACATCTAGCAGGCGGACTGACGCTCCAATTCAACAGCGGTTATGTTTCGGATATGAGATCCGGAAACACAAAATCTGTTTGTCACCTCTGTCAGGTGATTTCTCTGTTGGGCAAGGGCTCCATTTTGAATGGCGGTGCGATACCCCTTGCACTGGGCGGGGGTCTGAGCTTCGCGGTGTGGTACGTGCTCGTGCTCGATGTTTTTTTGCGCCAGTTGTGCTGGGGCGTAGACCGTCCGTCCCCATCCACGGCAAAAGCAACAAAGGCGGCACTGTGGTTTCCATAGTCCCCGACGGTGTGGGCACGAATCTTGAAAGCACTACTTGATTCCCTTGGGGTACGGGAGACGCTTCGAAGCAGCCCGGAGCTAAGTGCATTGTTCTGCCTGATGATGCAATAACACCCTGCAGCGCGGAATCGTGAGAGTCCGACAAGTGGGAGCCAAAAATAACACCCCGAATCGACCACGGACGATTCCCTTATCCCCACAGGCAGGAAACGCTAAACGCAAGAAGCCTCGACTCGGCATGCGACATTGCCCACCCTGGGCACGTAGGTTTGTTTCTCGGAGGTTGGGAATGAAGCCTGGGTCCCTTTCGATGTAGCAGCCCTGGAAATCCGCTGTGAGTGCCCTGTCACGAAGGTATTGTGGCGAGCGGCTCCCCTCTATGGCTCGACTGACGACGCTCCCTCACAACTGTGAGACCAAGAACCGCGAGGCCATTCGGAAATGTGCAGAACACGAGCATGCCGTGCTGTGTGCATGCAAGCGATCCGGTTTAGGTCCTCACTGCACAGATGGAGAAGAGTGGATCCGATGACACCAGGCCATAAAGATTCGACCGCTTTCCTCAGTGCCATCGGAATTTCCACCTTCTGTCTGTAGGCTTGGTGAAGATGTTCCAGCTCGTGTTGCAGACATAGATGGTGCGAAAGCAGAAAAGGAGGACTGGCAGCGTCTACTCGGAACTTGAAGCTTTCAACCTATAACCCTAAACCTCCAATGCTCGAACGCACAAAAGCACGGAAAACCGGTTACTCCTAAAGCCCCACAGCCCCGAAGCCCCGAATCCTGAAGACCCCCAAAAGCCAAAGATTAATCTAACAGCCCCTGAACTCCAGGAGACATCAAAGATGCGAGACACAGAGCGAGAAGACTTCCAAGCGATGTTCCAGGAGAGGTTCGCCTGAAAGGTACAGTACTCTTTCAGTTTTAGTTGCGACAACACCACGGTCCTAAAGCGCAGAGAACTGAAGCCCGGCTTCTTTGTGCAGGACCTGTCGGAGTTGATCGACGCTATCGGCAGAGCAACGAAAAAGCTCAAGTCTGGGAAAGCTCAGGACAGCAAACCAGGGAGACGAAGCTGAAGTGTGAGCCCCTGTGTTGCTTTGACAGGAGGGCGACGTGGTTTCGAAAGCCACAAGGTTGACATCACTGGCGATGTTGCCGTTGCCATGGGCACCTGCTTCTTCACCAACGCTGCGGGTGGCAGCAGGGCTAAGGTGGAGTACACGTTCGGCTACGAGAGGAACGCCGACGGCAAGCTCCGCATCTGTCTCCACGACTCCTCCGTGCCTTTTAGTCTGCCTCCCAGCTCTCAGCTTCCAGAACAGGATGTGAAGAGTGCACAGGCAGCATGGGCCAATGCCATCAAGAGCATCTCCACGACCTACCTGAATGGGGGAGACTATGTTGCAGCTGCTGCCGAAGCGGATGGCGAGCTTTACGGCTATGGCCACACGGATGTGCTCTTCAAACCCACCAAGGCAGCCGATGCACCGTTTCGACCAACTGCTGTAGAGGCCACGTCCTATTTTGTTGGGCATGAAGCAGTCGAGAAGGGCTATGCTGAGGATGCTGGCTTTGCGATCAACGGCGGCAAGGGGTGGTCGAATGTAGTCTTCGAGAACCACCAAATCGATGTCACCGGCAATACTGCCCTTGCCATGGGCACCTACTTCTTCACCAGCGCTGCAGATGGGAGCAAGACCAAAGTTGAGTATGTGGAGTACACGTTCGGCAACAAGAAGAATGCAGACGGCAAGGTGCGCATCTTCCTGCACCACTCCTCGGTGCCATTCAGCGTGACCCCAACCCCCCCGACTGCGGCGATCACTGAAGCAGAAGTGAAATGCGTGCAGGCAGCATGGGCCAGGGTCATCACGAGTATCTCCATGACTTACTTGGATGGAGGAGACTGCGTTGCCGCTGCCACCGAAGCAGCCGGGGCGCTCTATGGCTATGGCCATTGCAATGTTCTCTTCAAGCCCACTAAGGCAGCCGAAGCACAGTTTCGACCGACAGCCGCAGATGTCGTGTCCTACTTTGTTGGGCACAAGGCGGTCAAGAACGGCTATGCTGAGGATGCCGGCTTTGCCATCAACGGTGGAAAAGGATGGTTTGACGTGGTTTTCGAAAGCCACAAGGTTGACATCACTGGCGATGTTGCCGTTGCCATGGGCACCTACTTCTTCAGTGTGCTAATCATGATCGGCCTCCTGGCGTATGCCTCGGCGCACACGGGCCTCTTTGTGAGGTGCAAACAGATCATGAGCGGGGTCGTGGCCTTCTTCAAGGCCATGGTGGGGAGCCTTAGTGGGAAGCTGTCCTTGAACAAGGTGGGCTCGCGATGGCTCGCAATTATCTGCTTTTGCGGGGGATTGACAAAAGCCGATGCTACAAGGCACTCCACATCGCATCACACTGACATGCTGCTTTGGCAGGAAGTCGGTGAGGAATGCCTCTTGTGGGTCCTTTTTATGTTGGGGATTGGATTCTGCTGCACTCTTGTTGCAGGCGGGATCGCTTTCATTCTGTGTGGTCGCACGCATCCGCAGAATACCTTTATGCACAGGCGTCGCCTTTCTCGGTTGAGGCGACTGCGCAGAGTCCTTGTGATGAGAAGGCGGCGAGGACGTATGCGCCATGCTCCTTCAGATCGTGATGTCACTAAGGCTCTGAGGCGATGGTTTCGATTTGGCAAGTTTGCATGGGCAGCTCAGCGCATTGGCGGAAGCAGAAGGAAAACTTCGAGATTCCGGAGACGGCGGTGGAGGTCGAGACGAGGCTCGCCACCGTTTGTGACACTGGATCTGTTGCCGCTGAGTCAAATTCAGTCTGCTAGTTGCGGGAACGGGACCCAAGAACCCAGAAGAAAGATCAAGAAAAGAATCAAAAAGAGGGGAGACAAGAAAATCAAGAGCCATGAGGGCCGCAGCAAGAGCCATCAGGGCCGTGAGAAGAGCCAGCATGGCCATGGGTTGCGAGGCATGGTTTCAGCTCTTGGTGGGGTTCGTTCAGGTTTGAGGGTTACCAGCCCATATGGGCTCCCCGGGGCCGCCTCGTGCTGCGGCGCTGCTAGCCATGGCCATTGCGATAGTGAAGGCGTCGCGGCAGATGGGGCACAAAGACTCCAAGGGCAAGGTCCAGGGCTTCTTGGGGAAGGACGCGGTCGGCAGCTACACGATTCTGCACATGCTGATGGCGATGAGTTAGTCTTTAGCGGGAGCGGGACCCGAGAACCCAGAAGAAACAAAAAGAAAAGAAATAAGAGCCGACGTGGCCACACCAAGAGCCATTTTGGCCACGCGTTGGGCACGGAAGGGCTTGGGTTTCGAGGTGAGGTTTCAGGCGAGGTTGAGGTTGGGCCAGGTATGGTTACTGCTGGTCCAGATGGGCTAACCGGAGCCGCCAAACACCTTTGCCACGGTGTTGATGGTGCTGATGCAGGCAATGTTCGTGATGGTTCCGGAGACGCTAAGGATTCGCGACTACATGATCAGGCACGTGGTGACGGCAGTGAGCGCACACGGCACTGCAGCAGTACGAGGACAGGCGGGACAGGACTTTGCAGTGAGAGAAGGAGTGGAGAGAGAAAGAGAGATGGAGACAGAGAGAGCTTAAGTGAGGCTTTCTTACAGTGGCCGTTGCTTCGAGGGGGTGCAGGGGGCTCGACAGTCACTGCGCACAGACGGGATAGCAGGCTGTTGCAAGGGCTCGCCGTGTTGTTGGCGGAAGCCCCAGACGACGAAGAATCGGAGGTTGATCGTAAGCTCCGAAAAGAGCTTCAAGCCTTGCTTAGCAAAAAGCCGGGCACGCTTAGACAGGATCTCCGGGCACTTGTGAGCCGTCTCTCGAGCGAGGAGGCGGACACACGGGACAACAGGCAACGCAGGCCTAAAGGCAAAGGCAGCGGACAGCAGCCGATGCCACACCAAGCACAAAAAGGGAATTGCAAGATGCATGAACAGCACATTGCGAAGGAACCTGTATCGTCTAGGGGACGCAACCAGCAGGCGGCTCAACAAGACGACGGATGGCAAGAAGTTCAGCGGCGCCTTACCTGGAAAAGTCAGGCCAACGGCGCGACCAAGACGCAGAGCTTCTACACGGAGGGACGTTGGCAAGCGCGTGCTCAAGACTGGACGGCCGACAAGCGAAGCACCGTGATGGTTAAGAACACATATGATTTGTCGGAAAAGATGGATGCACACAAGGCGGGCGCATGGCTGCTGCAAACGGAGGATGATGCGATCGTTGACGAAGCGTTGCGCATGGTTACCGACCAAGCGGACGGGGGCATCGCCGTGATCTACACTGGAGCGGGCAGGGAGTTTCCCACGGAGCTCGAGCGATGGCAGGCGCAAGCGACCTACGACAGGGTTCCAGGCGTGCTTTCGGGACAAGGTGGGGCCACTCGTGGGGTCAGATCCAGATGGGTCTTTCGCATCGGCAAGGCTCCTCCTGCTCTTGCGGCACGCATGGAGACTAAGTTGGACTTGAGCAAGCGCGGCCTCAAAGACAAGGCGGACGATAACACCGTGGTCATTCGTATGCGAGCGAGCTGGCATGTCAGCCCACAGGAATGGCAAAGCATCGTGAAATCCCTTGGCACTTGTGCGAGACGATGGGCATCAACGGTTGGTGATGGTGTCACGCCATTTGACTTGCACGACACTTGGGGCTGGGAAGTTTGGGGACGCAAACAAGATGAAGTTCGTGGGTTGATGAGGGTGCAAAGCGTAAGCGTGGCACAAGCTCTTCTTCAACAGGGAGGACAGAATGTTGGCGGAGTCACCTTCTTTCCGGAGGCTTTGGCTGCGGATGGTCGCATCACTCAAAGTCCCTTTTATTGGCTGCAATGGCATGATCAGGAGACGTGGGATGCCTACACTGCCAGGGCTAGGGCTCAGAGCACCAAAGGGCTCTTGCTTGGCGCTCATGGACTGGGCATTCGATGCGATGAGGGTGACACCAAGGTGAGCACTAAGAAACGCCAATGGAAGCTTCTTCGAGTTCCAGCAAAATGCGATCACACCGTCGTTACTGAGATCGTCACCAAGCTGGGCTTCGGCAACATTGAGCTGACTGGGCGCGGGCGCACCTACCGGGGCCATACCAACTGGTTCTTTCAGGCGTCGCGTGAAGATGCTCACCAATATGTGCAAGTCACCGTGCAGCTTAGCGACGACGAGGACATGGTGGTCACGGCGGTCCAGGAGCTCAAAGCGAGGTGGGACAACAACCAGCGCTTGAACCTACGTGATGAGAGACGCATCAGATATAAGGAGACCGACGGTAACGCGGACTACCACGGCGATAAGCGCGACGGCAAGGACACCCGGACCGGACATGAGGGCAGGGACAACAACACTACCAACGGCACTGACATGGACACCAAGGAGTTCAAAGAGGGCGACGCGGACCACGCTACGGACGGCGCGGGCAACAAGCGCGAGGCGGCAGAGGAGGTTCAAGCGAGCGCCAAGAAGGCGCGCACCCCGTGGAAGCCTGCCTTGGGCAAGCGATTGCCCAATGCGGGTGGAGGAGATTGCTTGTGGTACGGCATTGCGAGAATCATGTCTACCGCCAACAAACCACGTTCTCATCGACAAGTTCGCTTGTGGGTGCACTCCTACATGCAAGACAACTTTGCCGAGTATGAAGATCTCTGGAAGGGAGCAGGCAGTCACGACCATATGGGTAAGATGAACGCCATCCCGAATTTTCAGCAGTACCTTGATGGCTTGGCGCAAGTTGGCACTTATGCCGGCGCACTTGAGATACTGGCATTCGCCAAGCTGGAGGACAAGCGTATCTGGGTGCATCATGAAGATGGGCGCGTCTTTGAGTTCAACGAGAAGGGCAAAGGGGACGCGCATGGCTTCTTCTTCTACGGCCGCGGACACTACGAGATCTATGATGACATTGACGAGTTGGAATGGATCAGAGAGCAAAAGCGGCAAGCGAAGGAGGGAGGCCAAAATGCTTCGCAGCCTCCGCTCCGAGGAGGAGCACGCGGCCTGTCGGAGTTTGCCAGCAGCGCCGGCAGCGTTGTCAGTTCTAGAACTAAGGCTGGGGCGGCGAAGCAATCAGTACCTCGAGCACCTGTTCTTCGCGGAGGGGCTAAATGCCTTTCCGACTTCGCCAGTTGCAGCGAGGTGCGGCCAAAACGGGCACTGACGGAGTTTGCTTCTTCCAAGAGGGCTTCTTCTGCAGCTGGCAAGAGGCGCAGAACCACTACGGCATCGACTATGCACGAGGTAGAGGGTGCCACGCGTAACCAACCCGCGGCTGTGGATCAATGGCTGGCTGATCAGGAGCACTATGACGGGAAGCAGGGCAAACCGGTGGCGGTCCTGAACCTCAAGGACCTGACAACCGATGGCAAGCCCCCGGCTTTTCAATGGCCGTGCAACATCTGTCACCAGATTATCGGCGGGGCCAGCAGCAGACAACTGACCTGGCGAAGGCGCAACCATATCAACTGCATTCACCCGGATGTCGATGCTTCGGAGTTCACCACGATCAGGCAGTTCCAACAGCGGCCCCAAGTGGTGAAACTTCGTAAGTCCGTGGCGGCTAGGTGGCGATGCTCATGGTGTGGCATGGGCATCCCGCAAGCCGAGGCAGAAGGCGTTCATTGGGATCGTATCAGCACTTCCGGGCGTGCGCACCTGAGCAAGTGTGAGAAAGCACCGGAAGGGGCAACCATGAAGCAAAACAGGATGAATCTTTGGAAGCAGCAGGGCATTCACTGCACTGAGCGCCGCTTCAAAGGCAGTTCTACGGGAGACGACGAGCAAAGCGATGACGTCAAGCAGCAGCTCCGTAGTCAAGGGCATCAACCTGTTGTGTTTGGGAGCGGCTTCTTGCGACACACTTCGAAGTTCCATGTCACGTGTCAGAGGTGCACTACTGTCTGGTGGGGTTTCGCGCGCGCGCAGCGCAGCACGGGGCGATGCCCAGGCAAAGGTCGTCGACAGCAACTTCTTCGGCATCCTCAGCGACGACAGTTGTGGAAAGGCGCCACCACAAAACTGCGACAATGTCTCCGTAAGGCTTGGAAGCTAGATCACGGGGAGGTGCGACGGTTGGGCGGATGGAGACGCAACCTCCTGGACGACGGCGACATTGAGTCGAACCCAGGTCCGAGCTCGCGTCATCATCACACGCTGAGATGGGCATCGTTGAACGTTCAGGGCTTTAACAACGCTTTCTTGGCATTGGACACGCTTGCTTCGCAGGGAGATTATGATGTAATCTGCTTTCAGGAAGCCCGGTTAGATGCTTGGAAGGCCCAGCAGTACAGGAACAAGGCCGCTCGAGGCGGATTTGTGGCTTGGACGCGATTGGGCACACATGCTACCTCTCGCAGGGGAGTGGGTTATGAACGCTGGGGGCTAATCACGCTGGTGCGTCAGACGCTGAAGTCCGTGCTATGCGTCAATGAAGGGAACCTGGAGGATGGGGAGCTCTTGGCTGTCCAAGTGGGAGATACGGTCATCTTCAACTGTTACAGACCAGCTGAGAGTACCTGCTTCGGAGCACTTCTTCAGCGAGCACGGGGCAGTGCGCTCACGCGCAATTATGTGATGGTTGGTGATTTCAATCTCAGCATCGAGGATCACGGAGAGTGGGATGACTTGGGATTGATTGCCAGCGGCGTCCATGATGGCTCTGAGTATGTGCCTTCCAGGTGGGACGGCTCCGCTTGCATCGACTATGTGTTGTCTCCGCCTGGTATGCTTCAGGGACCTGTTAGTTACCGGGAAGATCGACTGTCTGATCACAAGTGTGTGCAGGGCAAGATACAAGGCCGAAGTATGGATACTCCGCTTGTCTCCTTTGCTCCCACCCTCGATCTCAGCAAACCGGAGGCTGTCAGCAAGCAGGAGTGGCAACGGGCGGTGCTACGAGCGTGGCAAGACCAAGAACCGACGCCGCCTGCGGGACCTGAAGAAGAGTGGCGAAGCTTCTGCGCTAAGGTCGAGTCTGCTTGTGTGCAGGCTAAGGCCCGATGGCAGCCAGTTCACAAACCGCCTCACTGCAGAGCCAAGGGCTCTTGGCCCGAGGTGGTGGTGGAGGAGCGCAACACAAAAGTGCAGGACACCTTTCGCCTCAGGCGGCTCAGCAATGCCACCGGACTCGCCAGAGAGATCCTGCGTCAGCGGACGAGGAATCCCCTCAGCGACACTGCAGCGCTGGAGCACAAGTTGATTCGTAGCTGGCCGACGGGGGTGCCTAGACTTGCAACCTGGCAGGACCGTGTTCGCGACCTTGAAGCGGCTTATGCCAGAGAGCTCCAGTTGCGCTTGCAAGAGCGCCTACGCAGATGGAGACGCAGAGTCAGTCAGTGCGGTAAGGCTGCTACCAATTGGCTTGCGAGAAAGGATATAGCCAGGCCTCCGGCTCTTCAGATTCGAACGGACGACGGGCACAGCAGACTCACTCAGGATGTCCAGGAGCAACTGCATGAAGTGAAGGCCTTTTGGAAACGCGTATGGGATCGGCCTTTGCCTGACAGGATGCAGGCTATTCGTGCTTGGACTGCTCATGTCAGGCCCAGCGCTGCATTTGCTAACAACACGGAGCTTGCAGACATTGTCACCGGGGCGCACTTGCAGAATGCGGCAGCTCATCTCGGTGAGGGGTCCGCTGGGCCGGATGGTTGGAGCGGCAGCGAGCTTCGCCACCTGCCGTTGGAGATATATGAGGAATACGCCCGCCTGCTTCTTCGATGGTTTGCACGCGGAGAATTGCCCAAAATCCTCTGTGGGGCGAGGCAAATCCACTTGCCCAAATGTGATGTGGACCAGATCAGCAACTCCATCCCGGTGGACAAGATGCGGCCCATCAGTGTGTTTTCTTGCTTTTGGCGCATAGTAGGCAGCATGTTGGCTAAACACCCCCTCATGGTGCAGTGGATGAATGATTTGCTGCCTGCCGCTCAACACGGAGCGGTCAAGGGTCGCTCGCTGTTCGGGGCCGTACGGGACCTCGCCAAGCAGTTTCACGAGGAGCAAGGCATTCTTGTTTCATTAGACTTGAAGCAAGCATTCGATCGGATGGATCCCACATTAGGTCTTGAGCTCATGAGATCAGCCGGATTGCCAGCGTCGATTACCTCGGCGTTGGCGACCGTGTGGACGAAGCAATACCGCTGGATACAGATTGGCAGGAGCAGTCAAGCTGTGCCGGAGCTTGTGAGCTCCAGTCTGCCGCAAGGGGATGGGATGTGCCCGCTGTGTCTCAACGTTGCCATGCTAGGACCCGTGCTCCACATGCTCCACACGTTCAATCCTCGTGACCTGACACTTGCTGTTTTCCTTGACGACCGCAGCTTTGTCGCGCGCACCGCTGAGATCGTCGCCGAGGGCCGTGCACACTGGCGACGCTGGACCAGAACCATGGGGTGGGAGGAGAATGACGCGAAGGTGAAAGTCGTTTGCCGGAGAGAATGCCAGATGGCTGAGGTGCGCGCGCAGGGCGTGCATCCAGGACACATCGTCGAGCAGGCCACTGTGTTGGGAGTCGATTTTACTCAAAAGTTGCGCCGGGCACAGCGGGAGCAACTCGATGAACGTGTCCGCAGTGCTGAGGACAGGGCGCGGCGACTTGCAATCACTACCCTCGCTTGCCAGGTCAAGCGGAGACTGTGGATCAGCCATGTCATACCGAAAGCTTGCTGGGGACACCTGTTTAAAGCTCCTACCATGCGTGTGACTTGCAGGTTTCAGCAGTGGTATCGCAAGGCTTTTTACGTGCATCGTGTAGGCAGTCCTGATTTGCAGCTTATTCTTGACGGACATGGCTTGCAGTTTAGCTTTGTTGCTAATGCTCAGTCGCTGTGGGAATTCTATAGGTCCATCGGTCCTAGCTCGACCTGGTCGGGCAAGGAGGGCACGTGGTATGGACATGTTCGGCGTTTCCTGGAGGGTTTGGGGTGGCATTGCCCGTTGCAGGTTCATCCATGGGCGTGGCAGCATGCAGAGTTAGGATTCCAGGCTGTGCTCGGCGCTCCAGGACAGCTCCGAGGTTTTCAGCATCAAGTGCGAGAGACTTGGCGCTACCAGCGGTACCAGGCGTTCCTGAACTCGAACCGGCGAGATGCCAACGTGCTCCAGGCGGTCGGCTACAGCACAGAGCGACTCGGCAGGGCACGGCGAATTTTTCAAGGAGGCAGTGGTCATCGTAAGGCGGTGCTATGTGGCGCAGCCTTATCTACGGCGTACTATGAAACGCGTCGTCACGGGCATGCAGCTCAATCTTGCAAGTGGTGCGGGGACCGGGAGCCAGCTGGGTGGGATCATCTGGCATGGCGGTGTCAAGCGATGGGTGGAAACAGGCCTCGTGCACCTGATGATCCTCTTCAACGGCGCCTTGGATGGCCCATGGAGCGGGACTCGCAAGCGCGAGCTCTTGAAGTGGTGGAGTGGCTGGCCAACATACGTCGGCAAGTGCAAGAGTGGTTATGAGGGCCCTGACGGGGGTGCGTGAGGTCTGAGGGCCGAGCGCATCGCAAAACCAAACGCACCTACTTCTTCACCAGCGCTGCAGATGGCAGCAGGGCTGAGGTAGAGTACACGTTCGGCCACGAGAGGAACGCCGACGGCAAGCTGCGCATCGGTCTCCACCACTCCTCCGTGGCTTTTAGTCTGCCTCCCAGCTCTCAGCTTTCAGAACAGGATGTGAAGGTTGCACAGGCAGCATGGGCCAATGCCATCAAGAGCATCTCCACGACCTACCTGAATGGGGGAGACTATGTTGCAGCTGCTGCCGAAGCGGATGGCGAGCTTTACGGCTATGGCCACACGGATGTGCTCTTCAAACCCACCAAGGCAGCCGATGCACCGTTTCGACCAACTGCTGTAGAGGCCACGTCCTATTTTGTTGGGCATGAAGCAGTCGAGAAGGGCTATGCTGAGGATGCTGGCTTTGCGATCAACGGCGGCAAGGGGTGGTCGAATGTAGTCTTCGAGAACCACCAAATCGATGTCACCGGCAATACTGCCCTTGCCATGGGCACCTACTTCTTCACCAGCGCTGCAGATGGGAGCAAGACCAAAGTTGAGTATGTGGAGTACACGTTCGGCAACAAGAAGAATGCAGACGGCAAGGTGCGCATCTTCCTGCACCACTCCTCGGTGCCATTCAGCGTGACCCCAACCCCCCCGACTGCGGCGATCACTGAAGCAGAAGTGAAATGCGTGCAGGCAGCATGGGCCAGGGTCATCACGAGTATCTCCATGACTTACTTGGATGGAGGAGACTGCGTTGCCGCTGCCACCGAAGCAGCCGGGGCGCTCTATGGCTATGGCCATTGCAATGTTCTCTTCAAGCCCACTAAGGCAGCCGAAGCACAGTTTCGACCGACAGCCGCAGATGCCGTGTCCTACTTTGTTGGGCACAAGGCGGTCAAGAACGGCTATGCTGAGGATGCCGGCTTTGCCATCAACGGTGGAAAAGGATGGTTTGACGTGGTTTTCGAAAGCCACAAGGTTGACATCACTGGCGATGTTGCCGTTGCCATGGGCACCTGCTTCTTCACCAACGCTGCGGGTGGCAGCAGGGCTAAGGTGGAGTACACGTTCGGCTACGAGAGGAACGCCGACGGCAAGCTCCGCATCTGTCTCCACGACTCCTCCGTGCCTTTTAGTCTGCCTCCCAGCTCTCAGCTTCCAGAACAGGATGTGAAGAGTGCACAGGCAGCATGGGCCAATGCCATCAAGAGCATCTCCACGACCTACCTGAATGGGGGAGACTATGTTGCAGCTGCTGCCGAAGCGGATGGCGAGCTTTACGGCTATGGCCACACGGATGTGCTCTTCAAACCCACCAAGGCAGCCGATGCACCGTTTCGACCAACTGCTGTAGAGGCCACGTCCTATTTTGTTGGGCATGAAGCAGTCGAGAAGGGCTATGCTGAGGATGCTGGCTTTGCGATCAACGGCGGCAAGGGGTGGTCGAATGTAGTCTTCGAGAACCACCAAATCGATGTCACCGGCAATACTGCCCTTGCCATGGGCACCTACTTCTTCACCAGCGCTGCAGATGGGAGCAAGACCAAAGTTGAGTATGTGGAGTACACGTTCGGCAACAAGAAGAATGCAGACGGCAAGGTGCGCATCTTCCTGCACCACTCCTCGGTGCCATTCAGCGTGACCCCAACCCCCCCGACTGCGGCGATCACTGAAGCAGAAGTGAAATGCGTGCAGGCAGCATGGGCCAGGGTCATCACGAGTATCTCCATGACTTACTTGGATGGAGGAGACTGCGTTGCCGCTGCCACCGAAGCAGCCGGGGCGCTCTATGGCTATGGCCATTGCAATGTTCTCTTCAAGTCCACTAAAGCAACCGAAGCACCGTTTCGACCGACAGCCGCAGATGCCGTGTCCTACTTTGTTGGGCACGAAGCGGTCAAGAACGGCTATGCTGAGGATGCCGGCTTTGCCATCAACGGCGGCAAGGAATGGTCGGACGTGGTCTTCCAGAACCACAAAAAACTGATGTGAATGGCACTGTCGCCATTGCCATGGGCACCTACTAGTTAGATTGTTCCTGCAGTGCATTGCCTTGTGCTGGCAAATGCACCGAATTCGAGCGACTGCACCTGTCTCCTCTGCGACTGGATGATGCCCGCTTGTACCAGACATTATCATGATGAGCTTAAGACAGCAAAGTTGTTGTTTCCTGTTGCCCTCACTTTTGCCTGCCCTAAGTCTTATATTTTCTACCGCAAGAGACATGTCCCTGAAGACAAAGGAAAGCTGCAAGCGACAGTACATTATCATTAGTTCCGGCTTTAAGCCTCGATGGCCACCAACATGCGTGATTCGTGCTCAAAACAAGTTCGTGTCGGCTGAGATTTGAAACCTGCACAAAGCTTGAGTTGTGAAGCTTGTGAGACTTGCCGAGATGTCCGACCTGGCTCCAGGACGCGTTTCAGCTTTTGTTTCTCGGTTCTGATACGAGATGGGCCGTCAAAAGCATGAGACCTCATGCAACGTGAGAAACGCCTCGAAGCATCCAACCAAGTTGTAATCAGTGTGGTGATTCAGATCGTCGTAGAGCTTTGCACGTCTTTATTAACATGGACATGGACAGTAGCACTGTTTGGAGGCTTATGGTCTGCTTGAAGGCAGGAATCGTCAAAATCAAAGAGCGCTAATCGTGGGCCCACGTCGCGGCTGGTAGCTCGGAATCCGAGCTAGACTTGTCGACGCCATGGATATCGGTACTGCTGCGACGCATTGCCGGAGCTGTGGATCCAAGGATGTTGGCGCCGTGTCCCAAGCTTAATGGTTTGTCTCCAGCTATTCAAATTGGAACATAATGGAACGTAATACGCTCTTACATAAAAGATGTAATATATTATAACAGAGCGAGTATAGTATAGTATGATAAGCAGGATCTCGCGGAGAGCCCCAAGATTGCTGCAGCGTTTTCAAGGCTTACGATGAGGGTGACGGGTGTCGTCAGTCCCGCCCTACCCCACCCCCTCCGCAAAGTACACTGTCGAGCAGCGAAGCTAAATAGCAGCTATACTTGTAGTTGTTTTCCGCGAGTCGTTACTTTGGTGATGGTCATCATCAGCATGATGTAGGTCATGATTCATGATCCTGAACACCGCTGACATCATCACAGAAGCATGGAGTAGCGCATCACGAGCGAACGAGCAAGACGTGGCAAGACTGCTATGTTGGTACACTTGATCACGCCCCGCACGCATTCGGCACTTGGTCGGATTAGGCCTGGACGTGGTGCAGGCGGAGACGTTTACTGACGGCCTGACCCTGTTTGCCCTTCGGCTGCAGCTTTGCAGACCTGCACATCTTTCAAGAATAACACGTCAGTCATGTCCTTCCGTGCAAGAGCGAATTACATTGTCATGTGCCTCTCTTTGGTCTTGTAGCTCTAAATCTGTTGAGACATTAAGGGTAATCAGCATGAATTGGGTGCATTTTGACGGAGATCACAGAAGCCCCAGCGCTAGACGAAGGTTTTCTAATTGTATTTCAACAAACTGCACTACGCAAGGAGGAAATACCGGTTTTCCGGTCAGCAGCATGGGTACCTTGGATCTCAAATTTGTTTAAGCTCACCGTGGAGGTAAACTTATCCAGCTTCATGACTAAGCAGCAGCAACGCAACCTGGCTTAAGGTCTATGGCAGAGCCGCGAAACAGCGGTGCCATCGGCAGGGTTAGCTGGCCGGCTCGGAGCCGCCCTGGTCCAGAGAAGACTTGCACAGCATCCACGTCCACGTGTTGGAGCAGGATGGACATGGAATTTCCAACCAGAATCTCTGGACCAGGAAGCTCGACGCTCAACTGTTTAAGATAGTCAAGCCAGGGACCAGCATGTTGGACCCCTGACACTCAGCCATCCCGAATCGGTAGAAAGGGTGTCAAAATTCGTGTGAAGAGAGTTTCCTTGCAGCGCTCAGGCCTCCGAGGGCATCAGTGCAAGGCAGTTACGAAATGAGTTTGATGGTGAACTGATTGTACAGGTCTCCCAGGTTGCAGCTCTGGTCTGGCCTTTCGACAGAAACATATGGGACTTCACGTACTTGCATGGATGTGGAATGCTTGCGAGCGGTTAGGCCCTCAAGCCAGTGAATCATCAGCCCCACAAATGCCGAGGCTCCCAAACCCTTAAATCAATCATTATCCTAGTGGCTTACTCTTCGATGGACTGCAAGATAGTTTGACATAGTTTGACTTAGGCAACCCGATGGGTTCCTTGATCCAGCAAGATAAGTCGTGCTCTCGACATGTTAGGGAGGAATCACGACAGAGATATTCCGTCGGAGCCATATTGCCAGCCGGAAATGGCTTAAATAGCCGGAGTTTGGCGGGATGTTAGAAGATAGGTGCTTCTCCAATCCTTTCCCGGAAAACGATTCTTTCGACCTACCGATGCGTGTGGGTTTCGGGAGCCCGTCCCTGTTTCCAGTTAGCCAGGACTTGACCGACCACGGAGCAAGCGTTTCAGGCCAGTCTCGTGAGAAGTCGGCTTCAGCCACGCGATCGCCGCTTCCGTATGCTGCAGCAACGTCTTGAGCTGCTCATGTTGGCAACACAGCATGCGCTATGCACACACCCACACACGCACACAGGCATGCACACACCCAGCTCCCAACACTATGAAGATTTGTTCTTTGAAGTGTAACCACCGAGATCCTAAACCTAAACCCCCTATTGAAACCATGTGTAGAACCCTGAAAAGCCTGAAAAAGCTTGAGAGCCCATCTGTGGTAGCCGCTGGCGCTAGCCCTTTGTTGGGCTGTCTAGATCTTGATCCCGAGACCCCAGGGCTTTTGGTTTAGGGGTTTAGGGCCGAGATTTCAGGGCCCTGCTCCGCCGTTCAGGCTGAGGCACTGGCTAGGGTGTGGGTTCGGGCGTAGGTCTGTCCCAATAAAGGTATGTAGCAGGGATGTCGCAGCAATATCATAAAGGCAATACCTAGGGTTGAAGCATAGTTCCGAGGGATCAGGCTCAAGGCTAAGCTTTACTTCTGGGTCACGGGGTCCCGGGTAGTAGAGGTCGGAACGTCAAGAATGGTTGCAGAGCCTCCAGCCCTACATGCAGCCCATCCTCAGCGCAAGGGTTCTAGCCTAGCATATGCGGTCGTGGACCTTACATGCTCGAGAACATGCTCTGGAAGTGTCAACCAAAGCCACGGCATTCAGCAAGACATAATCTGCATATTGTGTAGCATGAGTGCGCGGGCCTCCGAGTATCCCGCAAGATTGATTCCGTCATGTCGTTGGCGCATGGAGTCCGTGAGCATTTATGTCAAACACTCGAAGGAGCAGCACCGGTACGACGAGATATCGATGGACCAATACTTAAGCGTAAGCCCTGCGCATCCGCCGTCACCTGGCCAGACTTGCGAAGAGCTCATCGTCGAGGCCCATACGCAGCTGGCGGAGAGACAGAGGGAGCAGCCTCGGCTTCTCTTGTACGTTACATACTGGGGCTCTCTCGCTCTCTCTCTCTTACCCTCTCCGTCTCTATGTATGTATATATATATATACATAGTTGCATATTTGTACGGTTGCATTCTGAAAGTGTCTGCAGGTGACCCAAGAGCCCAGCAGCCGAGATCCAGCGCTTCTACTGCTCCAGCCTCATGTGCACAGCAACCGGAGCAACAAGGACAGTGCGGATCGGTTGGCTGAGAGCGAAAGCTTGGCCAACTTTGAAGAAATTCATAGGCTGCGTTGGTGTTCTGGTTCGGGTCCAATGATCCAAAAGTTGCGTGCAGTGTACTTGCCCTTTGGTATGCGAACGTCGTAATTAGTGTCTGACGAGTAGGGCCCCCCGCTCTACTTTCCACTACAGCCCTCTTCAAGAAACATCCTGTCGTTATTCAACATGCTGCTGGCTTTTGTTTAAGTTCTTGTGTCTCCAGGACGTCGTGGACCCTCCTGGCACCTGGCCGTGGAGATCCCAGCATGATTGGGCATGTCTCCTGCTCATCCGGAGCTTATGAATTGATTTTGAGGGTAAGCTGTCAAGCAGTAGAGCCTTGGTTGAGACGTGCCACACGTGGCCATGGACATGCATCAAGGTCACGAGCGGTTTTCTACTGTTGCTGCTAGGGTGAGCAGAGTGCGATGTTTGCAAGGATGTTCATTGATAGCAGGCGATGTAAGAGGGCTGGAGGATTTTAGCTGAAGCGTGAAAGGATCGGATTTGCCGTTAGACCAGGCTGCGATAGGCGTATGGATCGTCCGAACGAAAAATCCGAAACCAAACGCTGAACGTACACTTCGCTGGGAGGCCTGAATCTGAGGCTCCGTTTCATCCTTACAAACATCACTGCCCATTTTCCAGGCCTCGCACGGGACAGCTTGTGGCAGAAAAGCTGAAGTCAACGAACGCATCAAACAAAAAGGAGTACCCGCAGTTCCTGGCCCACTATCCGCTTGGATGACGCAGAAGGGCCTCGAATCGAGGAGCATATCCGACTTGGACAACAGAGGTCCGGAAATCAGGAGGGCGGGAGTCCAGGATTTTGCAATCTAATATATTCTAGTGTTCTCGTTAGGTTTGCACATGTAGATACACTGAGCAACAAGACTTGATATGCATAGCTTGTTTAACATGCATGCGGCTGAGCTGCAAGTCTCTCAGGCTCTGGAGAAGACTGCTCGCTTGACTTGTATTTTGCCTGCCGGCGCCTTTCTCGGTCTTCCTGTAGGCGTTGCGCCTGCATGTGGACTACCCCTTCAAGATCATCGTGGCTTGGCCGGTACAAACGGGCACGGTCACAGGGTGTACATGGCATGCAGCATGGATGGTTCACGGTCTACTACAGCTTTTAGATAAAAACTATCAAAACATAATATCCTTTCGGTAAACAGGATAGACACTTACTTGGCTTGCCTCGCTCTTGTGATCATGTAGGGGTGTTGGGCGTGCTTGGCTTCCAATGCTTCCCTGCGCCGAGGTCTCGCGTTTGGTTTTGCAATGCGCTCGGCCCTCAGACCTCACGCACCCTCGTCA